CTATCATGAGCCAGATCAATCCAATCCATACCATCCCATTCTATCTCTGTAATATCCATTTTAATATTGTCCACTCACCTTCGCCTTATTCTTCCTAGTGGTCGCTTTCTTACTGGCTTTCCCACCAATATTCTATATGTATTCCTCATCTCCCCTATTCGTGCTACATGCCCTGCCCACCTCATCCTCCTTGACTAGATCATTCTAATTATACTTGGAGAAGAGTACAAGTTATGAAGCTCCTCATTATGCAGTTTTCTCCAACCTCCTGTCACTTCATCTCTCTTCGGTCCAAATATTCTCGCTAACTAACCTACATCATTAGAAAAATTAAAGAGATTTTCGCTGCAGCGATATTTCAGGTTGCGGTTTTATGGATTAGAAGAAGGCGTGGCCTTGAAAACATATAGTGACGTTTCGAAGGAACGTGCTACCCCTATCACCAAATTTGAGGTGTGTAAGTTTACCGTGTCTCTCTGTGATCACTGCCTTTATAATCTACTTGTACAAGCGACCCAAGTCCTCTCGTCACACAGTTCAACCCTGAAGATGGAGGCAGAGTGTTCCTTCTACGTGTCGGTTTACCCTTACACGGGTACATGGCGTCACAGCCCACAAGACCACAATAATATTTGCATTATGTTTAACCTAAATATTCTGATATCTTTCCTTTCTGGCAGAAACTGAGTGGCTAGTTGCAGGAAAAGCCGTCCTAAGAGTAAACAGTATAAACGCAGAGAAAAGTACTAGCTCAGTAATGACCAGGGCCCGGATTCTGATGACAAGTCATCTTTTTTTCTTGTATCCTATGCGATGCTCTTAAATATATAAATCTCGGATATGAGCTGCTGGTTACAGAAATGTAAATTTTATAGGTAATGTTTTGTCATTTTTTGACATTTTTAGGTTAAAGTCATTTTTTCATTTGGGGGGTTATTTGGTAAATTTTTGGACTTTTAAGAGTATTCCTTGTCATTTTTGGGAATTTTTCTTCATACGTTTTCTGAAATGTGAATAATATGGAAACGAAGTGTTGACGCTGATCATTCTGAGCCCTTATTTATTTGGATGATTATTGATGAACCTGAAATTTATTTCTAATTAATTCTCCGTAATTTTAAATTTCAAAAGTCTTATGTTTCGATATTACTGGAAATGTATTGTGATCTATAATATCGTATTTCATTGTCTGGGACTTGAAATACGGTGTTTATGTTGAAATTCCTAGATTTTGGCAGAAACAAGAAATCCGGAGTTATG